TGAAATCACATCGCTAAATTGAACACGTGACAAAACTGCGATTTTCTCTTAGATTTCAATTTTGCAGGGTTGAAATTTGTTGATGCAAGTTTCTTTTTTTGAATGGGTCGATGATTGTGAATGAATGTGCCCTTTCATTTAAGAACTTGAAGTTATTGCAAAAAAATGAAAGAACGTACTAGGAATTTATTTCTTTAACATCAGATTATTTTATGCAACAAAGAAAAAATAATTTAATTCATTATATAATTTAAGATTTTTTTTGTCAAAGCAAACACTACAACAGTTGAATTTAAGCTAAATTTATAATACAATGTGTACACTTTACTGAAACAATATATATAATGAAGGAATACATTAAAGTTTATAGGGAAATATGGCAATTTTCAGTGGAGAGGAGTTCATTGTACGTGCATGCAGAAAATGGGAATATGTAAAATGGTCGTTGTTGAAATAATGGATTTATGTGCCCAAATTATAGCAGAGAAAAAAAAATATATTTGATTTTGTCATATTTTATAAGGACATCTCAGTATTCCATTTATCACATACTTTATGTTCTGGAAAATGTTTTTAAGAAGCTTTCCAAATAGTTTTAGATAAAAATAAGTTATTTAACTTGAAAAAAAAATACTAATACAAATAAATCACCCCCCCTCCCTTTGTAACATATTGGAGGAGGGGTGGTAACATTTTAACCCCCCCCCCTCACTTTAACCCCCCCAGAAAACTATTTCAGATCATTATATTTTTCCTGCCATATATCGATGAGGTTCTCTGTAGATTGAATTTCAAAAGCTTATAGGGAGTTCACTCCGAGGGGCATAGCCCCTACGGATAGTGTTTTGGAACTAATAAGAGTGGCGGTGGTTTGTATAATTATATACTTTCAATCTAATTGCACTTTCCCAAATATTTATTTTTCCCTCTGTGCCTTAATGAGGAAGAACAAAATCACAAAATCTTACATACTGAATTTTGATTGTCATTCTTAATGTGTATGAATCACACTTATCTCGGCTGGGAAAACTTTTTTTTTTATGTACGGTACGGACAGACAGGTAAATCAGTATACCCCCCTCTTCTTCGTAGCGGTGGTATAATAATTCCTAACGAAAGGAGCAGCAAAAGATCATTTCAATAACAGCAAAAACAAGTTGAATCGAGGAGGGGGGGGGGCACTCTTGATAGTGACTATGTGCTTGTCCTACTAAACTAAGAAGTGCATGCACACGTTAAAACATGTTATATATGTTTCAATTAATAAAGCAAGTTGCTTCCAAAAGATTGGTCATGATTTTATGTCGGTATTTATTGTTTCCATGGAAACAAATCCTGCTGCAGTAATTCAGATATATGTGAGCAGTTTAAGTTTGAGTTCATCTGTTTTTGTCCTGGTAAATAAATTAATTAGAAGTATAATCAAACGTTGGTGGCAGTGCTATGAGTTTTGTATACTGGTACATCAATACTTATTTGGATCATTCTTGAATTATTTGGTTACCATAGCAACTGTTTTTTTTAAATTATGAATTTATAGTCTTTTTTCATGTTAGTGAAATGACAAGGTTTATGGAATTTATTTTATTGAAGAAGACACATAATCGTGCAATAAAGCAGTAGATTTTGTATATAAAACATATCAATGAAAAGGATTTTCCTGAACTATTGGCTGCCATAGCAAACATTTTAAAAAATAAATTATGAATTACTATTTTGATATTTAATGAAATACAATTAAATTCAATTTATTTTACTGAAAAAGAGAAAAAAAATAATGAATGAAGCTATGATATTATTTGTTGTATACTTGTCAGCATAACAAAATTTGTGATAGCAACCAATATAAGAAAGTGTTCAAAAACTATTTGGTTACCACAGCAACATGATTTTAGACGCTTGAATTTGTATTTATTTTTCTTTAAAATGTTCATAAGTGAAATAACAAATATAATAAGTGTTATCTATTTAAAATTGAAGAAATTAAATCATGCACCGAGGCCACAGATTCAGCATAATGATAACGTCATTAGCTATAGTGATTTTTCCTGACTTTTTGGTTGCCGTAGTAACAAACTATTTTTGTTTAATTTATGAACTTACATATTTATCATAATATTGTAAAATTATGATGTTTAGTAGTGTGATTTGCTTTACTTTTGACCTTTTTAAAGTTATGATGTACAAAGAGGAGCCAAATGTTGAATCTACAAATTAATCCAAAATCTCCATAGCAACCATTTTCGTTTTATTTTATTTTAAGAAATAATACCTCTCTATAAATTTTATATTTTGTTGAGTTAGGAATGACCTTTTCAGTGATGGCAGTTGTTTGTTATGGGTTGCCCGCGTTTACTTGCTACTATGCTTAGAAAATGCCAAAAATTGGCATTTTTTCAAATTTGTAAAATTTTGAAAAACTCACACTTTTCACTGGAACACAACTCTTTTATGACCAACTACTGAATAATTTCATTAGTTGTGGTAGTTACTCCAACAAATAGTCTATCAGAGTGGACAACAATTAAATATGTAAATAATATACAGAAAATAGAAATTTATGATGAAGATAGTATACTTTCAGTAGGTTGCTCTGTATTTTTGGCCTCAAAATGGTGGTTTTGGTTACCATGGCAACCGGGACTCAAAAGAAAAAATTAACCCCCAAAATGTTCTATACATGGTGTTTCTACATTGCATGCAAAAAATCAGCAAAATCTGTGATGTACCATTTCCATCTTTTTTCTAAATTCTTTGATTCTTACAGAGAATGACTCTTAATTGACAGATTTTTAAATTACTATATTACATTACTATATTATACAACTGTTACGAGGGTTGTCCCAGAAAAACGCGAACTCTTTGAATATTTCAAATACTATTCAACCAAAACTAATAATTTTTGGTATGCTGTTGGGAAATCATCTTTTAGATATTCTGACAAAATATTATAGGCATGTGATGTAATAAGCATATTAAAACAGCATTTAAATGATGTTAAATATCGGTGGTCGGCGCACGACAATTTTTTGACTTTCACAATGAAGGAATGACTCTAATTCTTGGCCATATTATCGAGTATAATCTGGTTTGGGTCAGTTTACGCTTTTTAATCCGCGAAGCGGATTATAAAAAAGCGTAAACTGACCCAAACCAGATTATACTCGATAATATGGCCAAGAATTAAAGTCATTCCTTATAATTTAATTTTAAAATAATTAAACAACTTTTGATGTAAAATTGTGTTGCTTTTTATAAGTTCAAATTTACCGTGCAATAATACAACCGTAGTAACGGAAGTGATTTGAAGCGAGGGGAGGTAATAACTGATACATAGATCTAGCAGCCATGATGTTTGTTTACATGAGGTAAGAACGAGTAATTGTTTAAAGTTGAAGGTGCATTTATTAAATCTGGAGTTTTCCATGGATTCCGAGGACAGGAAATGAGGGGATTGCATGGATATGATGATTAAGCTGGTCGTCAAGGGGGTGTGTCCCCATACCAAACCAGATTATACAAAATGTTTTGCGTTCCTTTTTCGAAATCAACCAATGAGAGGCGAGAATACAAACAAAATTAAATTATATAAAATTGTGATTGAAGTATTCGTTGTTATCAGGCTATATGGTAATATAATATAAAAAATTTTACTATCATAAATACTCTATGATTTGGTGTACTTGTGTTTAAAATTTCATTTGGTTGACATCATGAATAACAAATATATGACGATATATAGCAAAGCGCTTTGAATTAGAAAATGTCAAAAATGGTGACGTTAAGCTGTGATGTGGAGCAATAAATTATCAAGCAACACTATGTTGAGCGGGATATGACTTCTGCATCTAGAAAAAAAAAAGATTTTAACGATGAAAAAAAACTTAAACAGAACTATGGGGAACATGTTTATATCTAGTAGAAGAGGTTATAGGTTAACTTGACTGGTTATCTGATAGAAGATCAAGAGAATAGACCACATAAATAAATACGAACTTAAAAGACAAGAGCGGGACGTCATAGACGTACATGTACGTGAACAGGCGCGGATCCAGAAATTTTTTCCAGGGGGGGTCCACCCCAGTCAAAAAGAAAATCAAATCCCAGAAATTTCTTGACAAGCAAAAAAAAAAAAAAAAAACCTAAACTCCTCGACCAAACGTCAAAAACCTATTTCTTGGGGGGGGGGGAGGGGGGGTGGTGACTTCTATTGCCTCAAATCTTTCACTTTTCATACCTATTTCACACATATTCCCGTTTATCAGGGGGGGGGGGGGTCAGCGTTTTCCAGAGGGGGTCCATGGTAACTTTTTTTCTTGTTTTAGAATATACATTTTTTAACCTGGTAAATTCCAGGGGGGGTCCTGACCCCCCCCCCCCCTCTAGATCCGCGCATGCGTGAAGACAAAAAAAAAGAATTAAACACATTGCCGAATGTGAGCATAAAATGAATATTTATAGAGGCGCATTTTTCATAACATTCGTAAACACTACAAGATACGTTTTGACGTCGTCAGTGTTGCGCCGACAGCTGATTTAATAGATTCCTTTACATAAGAGGAAAATTTTATTTATAGAGATATTTCCTTGGCATTATTCAAAAAATGTTGATCATCTTGTGTGCGACTTTTTAACTTTATTGTCCTAGTTAAACAAAAGATATTAAAAATGTTCGCATTTTTCTGGGACAACCCTCGTACTTCAAGAGAAATGCTTACTCAGTTGTTGAAAATAAAATACATTTGCCATAAAATATGGTAAAATATTATTTCTGCATAGCTGTGATTTTGTTCTACATTAAGTGGGGGGGGGGGAAGCACAGACATACTCTTGCCCACCCCACCCCCCACCCCCACACCCCAGATCTGAAAGTGGGGTGGGGGGGGGGGGCTAATGCCCCCGCTGACTCCCTGTGACTACGCCTATAAGTATAAAAGAGGAACTTAGGTACAAACATAATCGTTCTAATGGGTTGAAATTGATAAGAATGTTTAATGTACCTCCAGATCCCATCTTCAAATCAGATTTCACTTGCTCCTTAAACTCTTTAATTGATTTTTCCATGGTATCAGCTAAACCTTTGAATTCCCGCTTTAAAGCCTCAATTTGGTATGACCCAAGAGCAGAAGAGAGTTGTCCCGTCAAATATCCCTGTAACATTTCTTTACAGTTGCTTGTCTGCGTCTCTGATTTGGATGCATGAATAAGCATAATAATGAATAAAACAGGACACATCATCTAGAAAAAAAAGATATCAAAAATTAAAATATTGAATATCCTTTGCTCCAAATAATAAGGACACCATCCATAACCCTCTTGAGTATAAAACTTACTTTGAACAAAAATATATTTGTCCAATAAATACTTTTTTTTGGCTTTAAATGTTTCCGTGAATTTGAAGATTCTGACGTAAACTTGCATATATATAATTTTCATAAATATATCAACATCTTTACTTGAAACTTGATATTTTAATCACATTCTAGCATGACAAGAAAAAACTTCAGAAATCACGGAAATGAGAAATTATGCATAAACGCAATCTAAAATGCAATTCTTCATTAAGGAATGGAGGGAGAGGATTTGATTTTGTTTATTGTTTTAACATTGTACACGCCATTTATATTTATAAAACATTTTGATGTATTTTATAATCTTACATACAAATATAATTCAGTTTCAAGGAATTGGCACGAGGCCATTTGAGCAAAGTTTTGTTAATTATTTCGGTAATTTTTACACACTCATGCTTTACCCATTAAAAATTTGGGAGTCTAAAATAATTTATTAATTAGACTACTGACCTACTTGTTGGAAAAATAAGACAAAGACACCGAAACCGAAAGAGTCTAAGAAACGATATATATGTTTATTTCTAGGTCAATTTATCCTTTACAGAGGCTCCTTTAAAAGTTTACATTTAATTCGCACAGCAAATACTCAAACTGATCATCAATGATTATACAAGACACATGTTAACATGTTTGGAAACATGCATTGATCTTCTAATAAAGAAAATTAAAATTCATTATATTGTCTTACAATTGATTTTGAAAATCAAATCGTTTCAAACATTTTTTCTGTTGATATAAAATTCACACAATTATAAGTTTGTTTTTAATTTTTTTTTTTAAACTAAATAAGTACAAAAATATAATGATTAATAATAATAAGCATAACAAAAAACCCCATTAACCGAATAAGATATAATGTCTCATATAGTACATACCTGTTTATATGAATATCATTATAATCCGAAGATAGAAGATGGAGCATATTATTTTCCCCTTTCTTTTGTTTTAATTTTTCTTTAAAAACCGTAATATTTGATCACACAAAAATTTGGCACAAGCTACTCAATAATTAATGATTTATCAAATGTACTCAAATTTAAATAATTCTGATTTTGCAACTGTATGAAGATAACACTGTATACGCATTTGGACATTGTTAGACTAAGTCATTATTGTCGCTCTTTTATGGCAGCTTTCCAAATACAAAGACCTCTGTTTTGCAGTATTCGTATAGTTATTCAAGAACGTGTTGACCAAATATTTCTTCTAAAGCATGAATTTTCATTTGTAAAATATTGTAAAAATAAAAAGTTATAGAAATATGAACTTCAAATCTTTATGAAATTGTCATATGTATCCTTTGAGCAGAGAACGCAACACAGTGACATCTTCTGTGACAATATCATACTATAAAACTTTTCAGAGAATATATACTGTAGGCTATCTCGGTTTTTTTCTTTTGCGATGATTTATTTTTCGCATTTTTGCGATCACTTTTAATTCGCAAAATTAAAACACAAAGAAATGATGGTTGATTTTGTCCACAAAGACACTTTTTCAGTTTTTATTTATCGTTTGAAATAACTTGTGCAAAGTAAAAATAGCAAAAATCTGTATCTTTTTGGAAAATTTTCTAATAGGCTAAAAAAACCTCCATATATCGTATGGTCAATGATAAACGTAAAACGATTTTCAAATATTATAAAATTTTATAATCGATATTATATTAAGAGTAAAAAAGAACAAGTTTTATTTTTAAAAAAAATAGACACGAAATCATGACAAACACAATTTCAAAAAAAAATGAACAAACTTTGTTGTATTGATGAATTAAAACTCGGTCAAGGCAATTGGAATCCGACAAAACTAGTTTCAGGACTAGATTGCAACAGAATATCTGCACGTAGACAACTATATATTATTATTATAATTGGCAAGGAATCTGGGACACTAGATGTAATGCTTAAGAAATATTTTTAAAATATGCATATAATTCAAAATGATAATTATCTTTCACTTAAAAATTTAGATAATTAATGTTAAAATGGAGGAATAGTACAGAATAAAGGCAATGCAAAAACAAAACATGCATTCAACAATAACTTGCAATTATTTAAATGAATACACGGGAGTAATTTGCTGATTGTAGAGGAACGCAGACAGGGTAAATAATGTTTCTATTTTAAATTTTTCAGAAATTCTACGAAGGTGAATGAACAGATTGTTATATCGGTTAAATTGTCGATGAAGATGTATTAATATGAAGTACTATTGCTGTTTAGTTTTTCACTTTTTTATACAATTGAGAAATTAAAATAAAAATAAAGAAAAGAATAATATTTCATTTTGATTTTTTAAAAATACATATTAATTCATACATGTAACGATAGATCGATGAATATGACAGAAATCACGTAAAAATCTGCTCCTGGCTTTTAAATTTTCATTTCCAATCGTTTTAAAAGAGTTCAAAAACGAAAGTTAATAAATTTTATAATTCAGTTTAACATTATAAATACAGAATTTTCAATTTTTAAAAAAGTTTTGAACATCATTTCAAAACATAATAAAATAATTTGTAAATTATAAATTTATACATTGTAAAGTCATTTCGTTTTGAGACTCTTATGTGGGATTTCCCGGCACAAAAGAAAAAAAATAAAGTAGTACGCCTATTTAAACCCCTGAGCGGACGTCTCTCGACATATTTCACAATTTTACATGAAAGAGACGAAATGGCTTTTGCAGTTCGAAATGTCCGCTTGCAAGTGATCAGTGTAGGAAACGGGCACAGTACCAAATGATCCTTGGGCTAAACTGATGTATTACCTGGACCGTTTTTGTAAAGGACAGTGCTGTCACTTAAAATATCGATCGGTTGCGGAATTATGATAATTATAGATTTCTCTAAAGAACAAAAAAGCGAGCTGCTAATTCTGTGCACAATGCTCTCCCCTGATTTATTGCTGAACAAGATTTTCTTCCAAAATGATGAAATGTGTGGCGACAGTAGCAATCATTACTTCGGGACTGGGACGATTTCAAACCGAATGCTAGTCTAAAGGTCTTTAGTCACTGGAAGGCAGACGAGAAATATTCGAAAAATCATAACTTTCAAAATAATTGGCTTATGGAAGAAGCCGAAGAAAGACGCAGACGAAGACGTAATAATGACAGCTGCAACATTTTGTGAATGTACAAAACTTTTCAAAATGGCTGCCAAACAAGAACAGATATTTATTTACATTTACATTTTTTCCTTCCAATTTTTTTTTTTCATTTTTTCATTAGAATCCGAAAGGATTGTGGCACGAGTTTTTTTTCCTTTTTAAGAGAAATAAAGTAAATCAAATGTAGCGACATATACAATGTATTATTAAAATTCATCAAATATTCGCTACATTGTCTGTATTCTATCATAAGTAGAAAAAAGTTTCTTTGTCAGTCATGAACGTCTGTGTAAAACATTTTATATACAATGAGTATATATTGCACGTACAAAAAAATTAAATAATTTATGTATTAACGTTACGATTTCTTCCTTAATGCTACAATCTTGTTTTGCTTATTAAATATAAATATTTTTTACTTCAAAGTTTTACATCCACATTAAGTTAAATAATGTTTTCGATAACTTTTCATTGCATTTCTTGAAAGTGAAAGAACTGAAACAAATAAAATAAAATTATTGCTGGAATTGGTCAAATCTAGAATTTAATGTTTATCCCTGATGACGTAATGTATCGTATTCCTTAACTTAAAATGTCTGGGCAAGCACTTTTATATGTTCGAGTTAGATAAGAATCTTCTATCATAAATTAAGTCAATCACTCAATCATTCAGTTATGGAAAGCATTTACAAAAGAAAAAAGATAAAAAGAAGAAAATATTTTTAATAGTTCAGAAAACATATGATAATACATATAGTTTTGTACACACAATAAAGTCAATCTAGAATTAAAATAAAATGATTTAAGAGTTGAAAGCATGTTTCAGTAATATTGCAGTTTGATACTTTGTTCCAAGCAATTCTTTGTTTTTCTGAATCGATCGTCCGAACATTTGAATTCCTTTCTCAAAATGTCCATTTTCCTTTAAACAACACCCAAGAAGATTAAAGGATATTGCATTCTGAAAGATTCCCGAAGATGCACTTTCTTCAAAATCCCTCAGAACAGACCACGACCCCTGATTGTCTACAAGAAATCGACAACATTGAAATTTCAAATAAAAAGCATAGACCAGAGGGTTAACTTGCAGTCTTGCACGAACTTTCGAAAAAAGAAATGGCACTGGAAAGCTGTTCCTCAAATTTTCATTCTGCATTTCTAATGTCACAATTTCTAATTTCAAGTCCTTTGTCAACATCTCCACTTCAAATGGAAAGAACTCTATCTGTGTTAGAGGACGTGCGGGAGAGGCAAAAGATGCATCACTTTCCCCAAACATCAATGACATGTAAACTTGACACAAAGACATAACAGAACCAATTTTTGTCTGGAATTTTGTTTTCAACATTTCTAACATAGTTGATATAATCTTTAAACAGTTTTCAAAGCAACCAACGGAAAAGAATGTGTGAGCTATTTGTGTCAAATCTCCAGGACACAATGTTTCGACTTGCAATTTTGATTGCTTAATTAAGTGACTCACTAATTGAAAATTGTCGTCAATTGTTTTGGCACTATTAGGTCCAGTCAGTGTCTGAAACTCATATGCGCATGTTGCACGAATTTGCAAACAGGATAGTATCCGTATTAAAGTATCTTTGAATGACACGGATAAATCATTGTCATATCTTTTTACTTTCCTCAGTACATTAGCAATTATCACCATTATCTGCTCTGGACGTTGTACGTCGACGTTATTGAATAGTGTTTCGACACAATTTTGGGAAAGTTCATCGCAGAATCTCGACATAACTTTCCCATTTAACTGAGGCATTGTTTCCATCCAGTTCTTTAACATTGGCATGATTGGTAAAAATGCATTCTTGCTAAGAAGTTTAATGGATTTCAAATTGATTATAGCTAATTTAAAATTCATAGAATTCGTCATATTTGTCAATTTAGCAATAAGCTCGACAATTTCCACATGGGACATTTTTCTGTAAAACAAATCGCAAGATTTCATAAAGTAGTGTGGACATTTTCCGAAGCATAAAAACTCAGTTAGCTTTAAGAAGCATAAACGAACGTGTTGCAGAACAGTCCAGGGTCGCCAATTTGCCACATCATTCTCCTCTGACACCCAGAATAATACTGTTTTTAGTATGTATGAAGTAATTCCGGACGTGACTGGTGAAAATATCTCCTCTTTAATGGATTTGAGAAATGAATATACAAAAGTTTGCATTGGATTCATGTTTCGAACCAGAAGTTTTTCAGCTAATACAAAAGAAATTCGCCACTCAAATTTGTCATCTTTGCCGATAGGTACTAAATAGCAGCCTAATTCTATAGCTTTTGCAATTATTTCCCCTGATGGCCAGCTAAAGTGTCTTTCTCTTTCCATCCATTCATCAGCGATCATTGGCCACTCATTACACTTAATTGCAAAAACCCGGTCGAAAGATTTAATGAATGTTGGAAAAGAACTGGTTAGAAAATTTCCTTGTGTCAAAATCCCCATTGCTAAGGATGGCCCGTTCAAGTATCCATTGGATATACAAGGCGCCCCAAAAAGACTAAACATGTTCTGAATGGGTAAATCAATGTTAAATAATGTTGAACCTAGTAAAAGTATGTCGGTAGACGGTAAACTTTCTTCGTAAGTTGTGTTTGTAGTTTCATCAAAAATTTGTAATTTTAAGTAAGCATAACCTGGAACTGCCCCTTCGCTATCCATTCTAAAAATCATTTGATCTTTATTTCCAAGAATTTCTCGTCTTTCATAAGCTTGAAACCAGGAACAATCACACATTAAATCTATATCAGTTTCCAAAGTGAAAATGTCTAAAGCTGTAACACCCTCAGCCGACGATCCAACAATATGTATCTTAAAAGGAATTTCACCTGATATACTATTCTGACATATAAATTCAAAAATATCAAATATTGCTAGTCTCTTTTTTTGAGTGTTTTTTCCTAATTGTTCTATCAATTCAGCATATTGACATATCAGTGGATCTTCCTCGCAATCAATATTATGTTCCATTTTGATAGGCAGAATATTTAAACCTGAAAAAAGTAATTACGATGCTTTGTAAAGTCAGTGAAAATATGAAACTATTTTAACAAGATAAGATGTAGAAAAGAAATAACTACCTTTATCTTATGATGTCCTTATACTTTCTATTTACAATAATCTCTTCCGCCTGGAAAATCCACTCTTGCTCTATAAATAGAACAATTAATGACATATTCTGTCAACAGTTTAAGGTGTTTGATTTGAATGACTATACCTTCTTTGATATGGCTCACATCTCCAAGCATAAATGTTGGGTTACATTTCAATTAATTCTATGTTTTTAATGAATGCAAAACTTCTAAAACATGGCCAGCTGAGACGTACACAAGCAAAACTAGTGGGCGATGACTAAACCGATGAGTATGACCTATTACGTTCTAAATTTCAATGCTTCTTAACAAGGAGGCACATACATGTATATAAATTTGTTGCCTCTGAGGTAGTTTCTCATCGTACAGATGAATGGAAAATTCTTCTACAGCATTTAACACTTTTTAAACATATAATTCACTTTTGAAACTGTTTTAACAATATGAGAAGTAGAAAAGAAAAAACTGCATTTACCTTATAATGTCCTGTCACTTTCAATTTACAATAGTCTCTTCCACCTGGAAAATCCAATCTTGCTCTATAAATAGAACAATGATATATTCTGTCAACAGTTTAAAGCATTTTATCTAAATGAATATACTTCCTCTGGTATAGATCATATATTCGAGCATAAATCGTGGGTACCAGTTCAGTTACTTGCTTGTTTTTAATGAATACAAAATGTGAAAACATGGTCATCTTGAACACAAAAAAAAACGAACAAAAACAAGCAAAACTAGAAAGAGATGAGTACATGTATGTCCTGCTACGTTCTCATATTTAATGCCTCATCAAAAGAAGTCATATGATATTTTGACTCTTAGGATGTTTCTCATCTTATATTACAGGTGCATGGAAGTTTCTTCTACAGCATTTAAAACTTTTTACACGTACAGTGATCTTTGACGTTTTTTGATGCATAAATAAATGATAATGGTTATTTGCACCGGAAGCAGACATGCAATATCTTTTCCCATAGAGGGAGGGGGCAGACGAAAAAATTCTACCGACAGCCAACAAGGCCTTAAATCATGACATGCAAAAATAAAATTTAAAAGAAAGGACTATAAATGTTAAGAGCAAATTTTGGCCCTCTAAAAAGCAGCATTTTAGAATGACATTCAGATATGTTTAAATTGATATTTATTTTGTAGAAGAGATTATATTAGATATATTTCCGATATATTTTTCACATTTAAATGCACTCACTGGCTGTAAATGATGACGGAAAAAACACTTTTTTTAATATATCTAACCAAAAAAGCCAAAAATAGTCTTTTTCTTAAGGTTTTTTCTTATGGGGAACATAGAGCGCAATGTAGAACATGCATAATTTTTCTGTCAGTAATAAGTATTGAATAGATACATCTTTGGTAAAAAATTAAAGTATGTTCTAGTCTGCGCTCAATATTTTCTGGAAGAAAAACTATTCAAAAATAAGCATTTTGATACAAAATATGCTAAAATTGCGAGAAAACATGCACTTAATGATGTCATAATTCTATATTTATGGCATTTTGATCAAATTGAAAATTTACAATAAAGGTCGCATGTATTGCTGTGCAAAGTAAAGCTATATATAAATTAAGAGTAAGATATTCATTTTAGGGGGCCATTTAAGACACTTAAGATATATTGCTCTTTAAAATGAAATAAAATAAAAAGGATCTGTGAGAACCATTACTATATTTTATTTTTTCAGGAAAGCACTCATTTTCGATAGAGATGTTATATTGTTGAATAAGTATACTGCAACAAAAATAAATGGGCAACTAATATACCTGTGACTTCTGTAAAAAAAAATTTACACCAAAAGACTATGGAAGGGCTCTAGGTCCTTGTATTTTGGACCTTGGAAGCGCCCTTGATTTTCAATACTTTAGCAAAAATATTTCATCAACTTCTTGAGAATTTCACCTCTTTTCACATGAAACTAATTAAAAGCAAACTGGAGGAGAAGAGTCTCTGTCTTTCGAGGCATGCAATAAACAATAATTTGTTTATTTCTTATTGACTCGAAGATTAATGAAATCTAAAAAAAACTTGTCCTTGACGAAATTTTAAATGTTATTAATTTCTTTATCGCTTTTGTTGTTTTTAATGTTGTTTATACTGTTCTAAAAAGAAGAATTACTAAATGACATAAAAACAAAATAACCATTAAAACACTTTTTAGTCATAGTTAATTAGTATAAATCCCCCAAAAAATCTGCTTAGTATACACTTTTCTGTATTAAATCAAATCCAACGTTTACTCAATGGTATTCAGTAAAATATGTTTTGTATGAAACTAATGTATAGTTAATATCAAAGAAGAATGGAGTCTAAGAAGTACATACACAATAAACAAGGACACACTGGAAGAGGGTCATTTAATTTTTCCATTGATAAAGAATCACGTTTATTATCATATAATCATGGCTGACGTGCACATTCCAAAGTATTTAATTTGCCTACGTTTAAGCGTCACAATTACTGTAACCACGTCAAACTATTTCTAAACGGTTAATCATTGCTATCCTTTACTGAAAAAAAGATCTTGGAAATGCAAACCATGTTTTGTATATGCAGGAATAAATATTTCCATTTTTGTTTTATAGATTATTGATTGCAATCAAAACAGTAATTAGTCGACAATATGAAATATCCATAATTTGATAATGTAGATCAAACACTTTTTTTTGAAAAGAAGCCTAGTATCGTCGATAGATAACTTGTAATACTTCAGTTATAGTGTGATCAATTTTAGGTCATGTTTTGGGAAAATCCTTCGAAATTCCAATAAATGTTAAAAATTTGTTGAATTTATTTTCTCTTTATTCCCATATAAGAAAATTGAAATTCAGTCCTCAGGTCTCCACATTAACATTTTCCCATGTTTCACCATAGCAGAGTAAAGTTTTGAAATATCCATAAAAAAATAAATAATCTTTTGCAAAACCTCATAAAAAACCTCGCAAAAGATTGTAATTTCAAATACTCTGTATGGAAAAAAGTAACAATCGCATATGATTAGTATTAATCATTACGAAATCGCAAACGAAAGCATATGAGAATCACAAACAACAGTTTAAAAGGAAACATTTTCAAGAAAAAACAAAACAAAACCCAACACCAAACATGCAAAACAGGATAAACTGAAGACGCTGTACTTAATTGCTTCTGAGAGATCAATATTCCCCCTAAATGATTAAAAAAATTATCTTGTACTCCCTCGCAATCCTGTATCTCTGTTAAATTGGTAAAAAGAATCATGCAAGTGTAATTTAAGAAGTGAAAGAGAGTGTTTTTTTTCTCTTCTATTTGATTGATAAAAGATTTTAACGTTTGGGAAATAAGTTAACTCTTTTTGCACTGTCAACAAATTTCTATATTGATAGAAATTTCTTGATCCGCTCATGTTATACATTTATATTCTGTGAGATGGGCATAATATTTAACAGTAAAATATGAAGATATAATATTAAGAGTAAAAAAGATTAGACATGAAAAAGAAAATAGAATAAATTATGACACATTTTTTTTTATTTCAAATTGAACGAACTGTGTTGTTTGGATGAATTTAAAACTCGGACAAGGCGATTGAAATTTTGACAGTTCCAATCATTCAGTCTGTTTGCCAAAAATACTGTGTATTGTGAACATTGGGTCGAGTTTAGACGGTAAGAAATCATATTTCTTCCCTATAAACTAGTTTCAGGACTTCGTGATGCAACAGAATTTCTGCACGTAGACAAGTTTATTGTTAGGAAACTAGGGCACTGGAAGTAATCTTAAAAATGAATCGTAAAGTATGTGTTATTCAAAATGATAATTATCTTATCTAAACAATTAAGGGTTATTAATGTTAAAAGGGAGGAATAGTAAAGAATAAATACAAATCTAAATATAACACATGCAACAATAACTTGTAATTATTTAAATGAATGCATGGAAGTTATTAGCTGATTGTAGAGGAACCTAGAGAAGACTAAAAAATGTTCCCATTTTATATTTTTCAGTTAATCAAACAAGGTGAATGAATAGACTGTAATATCGGTTAAACTGTCGATGAAGATGATTTTTAAAAACATCACCTAAAGGTATTTTATCTTTAATAACAACATTATCTATTATTATTGTTATTTCCCAATCATGGCAAGGAGCACACAGCGGGTGTGGTCGGCTAGCAGGGGATGCTCACTCCTTCATGGCACCTGATCCCTTATTTTATGTTCCAGAGGTCCGTATTTTGTTCCTATTTTATATTGTTTTATGGACTTTGAATAATGATCTTTATCTCCATATCCTTCATTTCAATGATGATTGATTGATTGGATATTGTTTAACGTTCCTCTCGAGAATTTTTCTGTCATATGGAGACGTCACCGTAAGAGCTTCAAATTTAGACCTATAGTCGGCACTCAAGGCCATTGAGCAGTGATGGTTCTTTATCGTGCCAGCGCCTACCGTGACACGGGACCTACGTTTTTAAGGTCATATCCGAAAGACCCGTGACTTTCACTTCTGATGCCGAGCACTTGGCGAAGGAACAGTCGCTACCTATTTTTACGTCTTAGGTTTGACGCGGCGCCGTGAACGAGAATCGAACCCGGGCCTCCCGATCACGAAGCGAACGCTCTACCACTAGGCTACCGTGAACGGTCATTTCAATAAAACTGGATGCATAACACATATGTAGTGTTGAATAATCAGTTTATTTAGACATAATTCCCATTTTTTTTACTATTACCATGTAAGAGTGAGATGTGTACATGTAATAATTTATGACCTTCAATTTTAGTAGGAGTTATCTCCTTTTTTATTAATAAAAAAATTAATTTGAAAAAAAAAACTTATCTGGTAAAAAATAGTTTTCAATTATCATTCTTTTTCTAATGTTCCAATTCATCTTTCCACCGCAGTATTTAATGGTATGCAAAGTACTTTTCAAATAACCAATGAATGTGAAAATAATTCTTTTTTTTTTTTGTTTTTTGTTTTTTTTTTGTTTGTTTGGTTGGTTTTTTTTCAAAATTGTTGCTTACCGGTGTAGTGCAGAAAGGGTTTGACCTCTAGTTAGCTAAAAATCAAGTCATTGGTTCGATTTACGCCGGAACTTACATAAATTTCACCTTTTCAAACAAATTTCAGAAAAGAAATTATGAACATTTATTGAAAATATGACAACAACAAAGAATTGAGCACTGTTGATACCTATCAAGCAAAGAATTAAAAAGGAAGAAATATGCTAATCTGGTATATTTTTTACACAATCAATTACCGGTATTAAACTTAAGCTGTAATAATTGTAACAAGTTTAACATTGCAGGTCTCAACTTATTCAAAATATGACCTCAACAATAAAAATTAGTTAATAAAGCACTGCTTATACATATATACTTTATATATATACAGGTAATAGACATACATATAATCTGTAAAAGCAGAAATTAAAATGGACAAATGCGTCCTGTCATTAATGGTATTTTTAAACAATTTAGCAGATGTGAAGCAGAACGGATTATCTTGCACACACCCCCCCCCCCCCCAACAAAAAC